GTTAAAAATAAATATAATATTGCGAGATTTCAAATGGCAAGTGACGACAACCGGGCACCCATTTTAAGACAATGAGGCATTTCATTTAAGTGCGAGGGGTTTAGGTGTGAGAACTCATCTGCATTTCGATTTTCAGTTAGTAATAAATGTAATTGTATCCATACACACACACACACAAACCATTAGTCACAGTATTCACTTAGCTTCAGGTGACTTGTGAGCTGGTTTATTACATATACTTTTTATAAAAGGAAGAAATTATCTGTTATATGTTAATAATGAATGATACTTTTAATAAAATTTATCACAAACTTTATAACGTGACTTTTTATCAACCCTCTTTTTTGATTTTGTAAGAAGAAAATAAAAAAACTTATTTACTTCGACAAACGTAACCTAATAAATTGCGATATTCAATGATTATTGATCAATGACTTATTCAACAGGAGGTAAAAACGGCAACGAATAGCTGTAATTTAAAACGAAGTATGTTAATTGCTATCTCTGATTGGTAAACGAGTTTGTAGTCTAGATGCTAAGAGAATGGACTCCTTCAAACGAAAAAATATACAGGAAAATGCGTTGTTTCTCCTTCTCTTTTTCTTCTCTTGGGGAGGGGAGGTGGGAGCGGTACAATGAAAGGTAAGGCGGAGGTCAAGAGCGCCGGTAAAGGATGTCTTCATCCTTAACAGTCGGAAAAGACCCCTGTCCCCCACGCCCATAAATGGCTAACCCCAAGGGTAAGACGATGGTCCTCCAGGCAAATCTTCACCATACTGCAGCTGCTTCTGCCGTGGTGGATGTTTGCTTTGCAGAGAACAATATTGACGAAGCCCTCATATAAGAGCCTTGGTTGGCCAACAGTTAAGTTCTGGGATTATCGGCTGCTGGTAAGATTCTTGTCAATACTAAAGGCAATAGACCTAGAACTTGTATAATATACAATAAAAATATTGAATTTTTAGCTGTTCCAGAGTACTGTACTGATAACCTGGTTACAGCCTTCATAACTCTCAAGGGATACTATCTTCCCGGAGTGTACTCAGACCCTACCATCGAATTAAAGCGAGTGGCGGAGTTAGCCCGAAAACACATTGACGAACTTGTGGTGGGTTGTGATGTTCACCACACAGCCTGGTGAAGCACTAACATCAACGAAAAACGTGAGTTACTTTATGATTTTCTCATTTTCAACCACCTGGTAAGCCAAAATTTAGGGTGTACACCAACATTTGTTACGCGTGCCAGGCAAGAAGTGTTAGACACAAACCTTGCTACCAATAACATGTATAGGCGGATAAATCACTGGCACGTTAGTAGTGAAAACTCGACGTCTGATCACAAACAAACTACGTTTGTAATTGGAGGATCACCAACCTATGAAATCGTTGCTTTTAGGGATATCTACAGAGATAGCTTAAGGAAAAATTTGGAACCGTTTCCTAAAAGCATCAAAACGATTGAAAGACTGGAGTTAGCGACAGAGACAGTAAGCGTAAGTATCCGTGAAGCCTTCGAGGACAGTTGTCTCGTCAAAACCATGACCTCAACATGAAAAGTTCCTTGGTGGAATACTAAGCTAAAAACCCTTAGAGAAAAGATCAGGAAACTATTTAACAGGCGAAAGAAAACCAAAGAGTGAGATATTTATAGTGCAGCCCCAACTTAATATAATAAATAAATTAGGAAAGCCAAGAAAGCATCTTGGAGAAAGCTATGCGAGGAAGTTGAATCTTTTCCTCGCAATACAAAACTACACAAAATGCTATCGAAAGCTAAACCTAATTAGATCGGGCTTCTTAAAAAGGCTGGTGGTAACTTCACTAATAGTGAAACAGAAACATTGGAGTTACTAGCATCAATCCATTTTCGCAGGGTCACATAAGACCTCTGTCTTGAGTTCTTTCAGAGTCCTACGAAAGCCTTGTAATGAGGTCTGAGGCTGCAAGGATAATAAGGCCAATCCTGGTGCAATGGGCTGTTGACCCCTTTAAACCAAGCGGAAAAGGAATGGAGGATGAAATAATTCGCTTTGAATTACAGAGCGGTATATCCTTCTTCCCTATCTGGTGAATATCTTCAGAGCAAATTTTGCATGGGGATATATTCCAGAACGATGGACAATTCTCAAAGTATTATTTATACCTAAGGCTGGTAGAAGGACTACGCTTTACCAAAGTCCTTTAGCCTATCTTAATTTCTCATTAAGACATCGGAAAATGTTATAGATACATATATAAGGGATGTAGCTTCAGCTACTAGGCCCATAAATTACAACCGGTATGCTTACCACAGTGGTAAATCTACGGAAACAGTCCTGATCAGTGTCATTGACAGGGTTGAAAAAGCACTGGAGGATAAATAAATAGCTCTTTGTGGCTTTTTGTATACTAAGGGCGCCTTCGACAGTAGCCCTACATCACTGCTGATTGGGGGCCTAAAATCTAAAAATGTTGACTCCATAACCATCAGATGGGTGAAGTCGATGATTTAAAACCAAAAGGCAAAAATAGCGCTATTTCGAACTTCGATTCAGGTTGCAAATACAAGAAGCTGCCCACAAGCAGGTGTTTTGTCACCCCTTCTTTGGACTTTTACGGTTGACCAACTATTGTACAAGGTGGCAGACCTACGCAATGACACATTCGGCTATGCTGATGACCTTGTGATTATTACGAGGGGCTTTTGCCAAAGTACTTTATCGTCAACCATACAAAGAGCCCTAATCACCATAAATAACTTGTATATTGGTAACAGTTTATAAAACTGTTATAATATTTACCAAAAATTGATGGTTGGACAAATTAGTCAGACAAAAATTCAATGGTAAAGAAGTACCATTATCTACTGAAGTTAAATATTCGGGCGTAAAAATCGACCAAAAGTTTACTTGGAACTATCACCTTAGCAAAGACGACTGCGGACAGACTGAATAGTCTACAACGGACTGTCTGCTTAATGGCAACTCGAGCTATGCGATTATCGCCTGAATGCACTTCTATGCCTAACGCCCCTTTATATTTTTCTCTAGACAAGGAGGTGAAGGCCAGTTTGAGCTTGCTCTCCTATTGACAGAGATCCATGCTCGACTCAATTGGGGAAGCACCAGTCTTCTGCCTCCGTTTTACATTGTCGACTCTTACAAAACCCACGGGAAGCTATGGGCTAGTGGGTATACTTGTCCGCCACTACAAGGTACGTTCGATACTAATTTTTAAGAAATCCGGTCTTCAAACCGCTTGAAAAATGTAGCATAAAATGGTAAATTTGCTCCCCATAATGCAATCTATGGGGAAAAGTAAACAGCTGCGGGCTTTTATCAAACTGTAATGTATGATAATGAAAAAAAAATCATAAACAAAATTAGTCGGAAACAAATGATTTACATTGGACGGACCTAAAAAATATTACTTTTTATCAACATTTTCACATTATAAAAACGGTACATTTCAAAGAAACTGAATATACACCAGCGATTCTCAGATTCCGATACAACAAATTGTTTACCATTAATCTCGAGACCTAGCCACATTAATGGAATATACGAGCCACTAACAAAGAAAAGATATACGGCCTGTTTTGCCAATATTCTCTGCATTTTGTGTAGATGCTGCAATCTTATAGACATATTATGTTATACAAAAATATTAAATACATTTTACAAATATTACGTTTAATGTACTTATAGATCACATAACGATGCTTAATTACGATTAAAAATTATTTACTAATAATAATGTTTCACCGTAGCCAAAACGCTATTTTCGATACCACCTAAAATGTTGGTGTTATGTTGTAGTGAGTACTTGCCTTAACAACCTGATTTTTCAGAAGGATTGGCGATCGCAATACATGCGTTGAGTTGCGAGATATTGGGCATAGAGTTGAATGACATACACACAATTCATTAATTTATATAGTAATTCATTAAAAAACCCCATATTAAATTAATTTGTAGCGGCGCTGTCGTCGCGCCACTAGCACACCGAAACACACCGAAGCCTAAATCGCGCTATTAACATTTCGAATCATAGACAGTATATATAGAACTTCTCCGAACTATCACTCGGAGTGTTGGCCGCTCCCCGGGCAGAACACCTTGCCCGGCGGGAGTTCTCCCATTTTCCTACTACGGCCACAAATTCATTAAAACATTTATTCATTGAATGCTTGACATCTCACAACTCGGTGGGCAGGGTACCAGGCATCGACTACTGTGATTATCATCCGTAAGTGTAACGATTACTTAGTCGATTTGTTTCCCGAGTCCGTCTGCCAAAACCACTTTTCGTAACTCATTTGTGTATCGTTCCACTAACATTTACAATAAAAAATTCACAGATATTGATTTATTTAATACATCGGTATCAAAGCTTAAATCCGCTCCCGTTCTTTAAGTTTGGATTGTGAATAATCTAGTTACCCATCACTGAAAATGTTGCAGCACTCAATTCAATAATTGAATCTGAATTCCTCTTCCTCCCGGACCTCGTTGACGTTATAAAAACCTCGTTTTGTCGTTTAAATATTATTTATAAACACAAAATTTCTAGTATTAAATAAAGTTGAAGTAATAGGAGTGCATAAGAAGTAGTCGTCAATACGCTGTACGTCACTCTGGCGAAACAACACATCGTACACAGCCGCACGGAGTTTACATCAACACAGTCTGTGACAGGGTAAGTATTATACCTCACTAGCGTACATTTACAACTGCTGTGTGCGTGCAAACAATTACAAATCGCAACTACACGGTTCGCGTTAATTTCGCTTGCCTCCTGCGCTCCTAGTACCCGACAAGCTGAATTGACATCCGTATTTTAATAAAATACTATTTGGAATTCGTATTCTGCTAAGATTGGATCCTTATCCTGTAAGATTCTGATTCTGATACTAATTGTATCCTTATTCTGATATTAATTGGATCCCTATTCTGGAACGAAATAACTTTGATATAAGTATACAGTATATATTTTTGAACTCGTTTTTAAAACTTTAAGATGGCCATAAAAAGATCTCTCTCTACTACGGATGTGGAAGGATTGGGTCACGAGGACAAATTATCAAAATTAATTATGCAGCGTAATAAGAGACTAAGAGAAGAGGACTTACCGACTGAATTCGTCAAATTTAAGGAAGAGATGAGAGACTTAATTACGATCTTAGTAGCTCCTCAGACTGCACAATTTAGAGAAATCAAAGGTGAATTGCAATCGATTAAGGATACAAATGCTAATATCGATTCATCAATATTATTACTTACCGCTCAGAACAAGGAACTCTGCAAGAAAGTAGAAAAACTACTAAACTCTGGAAGTGCAAGCTAAATCTGATCTAGAATATGTCAAGATCCTTGAGCAACAGGTGGAAGATCTTCAGAGAACATTACGAAAAACAAGTATCGAGATTAAAAACGTACCTAAAATTCAAGAAGAAAAAAGAGAAGATCTCATAAAAATGGTTCTCAATCTATCAAATTCCATCGACTTGAATATGAAATCAGATGATATAAAAGACGTTTTTAGGCTGCAGGGTAAAGATAGAAATGTTAAAAATACCCTCATTATCGTTGAACTTGGATCCACTCTCCAAAAAACTGTTTTGCTACAAAAGAAAAATGTTTTCAATACTAAAAATAAGACTAAACTGCTGGCAAGCAGCTTGGGTTCAAAATTAACGAAGACACTCCTATTTTTATCTCTAAATAGTTGACTCCTAAGGAGCTCGTCTGTTCTTTCTAGCTCGTGATCTAGTGAGATCCAAGAAATTTAAATATTGCTGGACATCTTTTGGCAGGGTGTTTGTGCGACAAGATGATAACACACGAATCATCAAAATAATCAGCGAATCCCAGGTAAATCAGTTAATGAAAGATGCATGACTACTCTCTACAATTACTTTCAAAACTGTATTATCTATTTTAGTGTTTAAATTTACACATACAGAATTATTATCATGTAATTATGATTCCTTTATGATTGTTAAATTCATACATAACTACACTGAACCACAAATCTACACATTTGCACATCCTTTATTATTTATAAAAACGAAATCACACATTTAACTCATACACAACACAAAATCTTACACTTACTCACTTATGCATCATCTTAAAAACTATTGTACATTTAGCTGCCTAAATAGAAGCTGCCTAGGAATTTTCCAATTTTTACGTACTATTTACGGATCTCTTATAAAATTAAGCGAATTTAAAATGAAGCCAAAAAGCCATGTAGATAATGCTTATACACTTTGTAGCTACAACGATTCAGTTATTATAGCAAACAATTATGGATAGCTGTATGTAAACAATTGAAGATTTGGACGAAACTGAAATCGCTAAATCTACATAAAACATACATAAACACTCACGCCTGTGACCCAGAGGGATAGGCAGAGACTACAGACTTCCATTTGGCACGATCCTGACACACCTCTCTCACCTAATACACCTACGCATACATGCTCGTCGGTTAAAGGTACTCCTAATTTGGTTCGTTTTCAATAAATCGCCAATTTGGTCGATAAATTTTCGCCTAGGATGTCCCTTTCCGACTCTGACATTCACTTCTGCAACATAAATTTTCTTTGTCACTCTTTCCTCATTCATTCTTTCCACATGACCAAACCACCGAAGCATTCCTTTCTTAATCCTGGTCACATCATCATCTTGCAAACCACACTCTTCTCTTAATACACAATTTCTTACCCTGTCGTTCAGATACAGCCCTAACATACTCCTTAAGGACCGCATTTCTACTGCGTTGATTCTACTCTCGTGCTTCTTCTGCCACACCCAACTTTCACTACCATACGTTAAAGTAGCTAAATCTGTATTATGTAATATAGAGGACTAATCTAAAGTAATGCAACCCATACCAAATTCCAATTTTAAAATACTAACCCAAAATATTAAGAGTATATATCACAACATGGACGATTTACTGATTAATATGTCACAATTGCCATTTAAATCTGATGTCATAATATTAACAGAATTCAGGTTAAGCACCAATAAAAATACCTGCACTGGATAACTATAAACCATATAAAACTAATTGTCAACTAAATCAAAATGACGGAGTTGTAGCTTATATTAAAAAAGACCTAAAGGTGCAAAATGTATCTGAAATAAAGCTAACACATGCATCAGGCTTACAAATCGTTACTTCTGACTTTATTATATTGAGTATCTATAGATCTCCGTCAGTTGCAAACGCTGATATGTTTATTGATTCCATGAATGCGCACCTGGAAACTATAGCCTCATATAAGAATATTGTTTTAACTGGTGACATTAATATTAACCTTATTACTAAATCGACAGAGCTAGCGTATCAGCACAATAACAGGCAGAAAAACTTAGATATTTTATCTTTACATGGACTCTTGTCCGGTCATTGTTTACCCACTAGACAGGACAACTGCCTTGATCATGTGTTCCTAAAATTAGATAAACATTCAAACTCAGCACTTGTAGCAGTACTTAATACAACAGTTACAGACCATTCTATGGTTTAACTTAGCATTGCTACAGCCTACAATCTAATGAATAAACTTCCCAAGACTAAATCTATTATCGATTACAAGTCAGCCCATTTAACACTTGTAAATACAGATATCACTCGTTTTAAGACTTGTAGCGATCCAAATATTTTTGCTGATATCTTAATTAATACAATAAAAACAGCAATTCTTACTAACTCTAAAATTAAATTGGTTAAATACAGCAAAAGAATTTTAAAACCGTGGATTACCATAGGTGCTTTGCGGTGTATTAGGCTTAGGAATAGCATGCAACTAAAAGCAAAACAAGAACCCGCTAATGAAGTCTTAAAAATAACTTTTAAACGTTTTAGAAACTTTTGCACAAATCTAATTAGGAAATTAAAAAGACAGTATTATAAAAACGAAATCGTATTATCTTGCAAAAATCCCAAATTACTATGGTCTAAAATTAATGAAATAACCCAGTTCAAAAGCACTAAAACTTCTAATGTCAACCGTCTCAATCTGTCACCAGACCCTCTCGAATCTGTAAATAAAGTTAATAAATTTTTCGTTGACATTGGTAAATTGCTGAAGATATAACTAATAATTATTTAATACAACATGATAATACCCCTGAAATTAAATCAAATCTAACCTTGTTTGTTTTATTGGACTCTAACCCGCAGGAAGTTCCTGATATACTCATAAGTCTTGACTTTGGAAGTGCTCCTGGTTGGGATGGTATACCAACATTGTTTCTGCAAAGATGTAAAGATTTTGTGGCCCCACTGATTAGCCAACTACCTGTGTTTCAAAACAGGTGTATTTCCAAGGGCCCTGAAACGATCACTGGTCACACCAGTATTCAAGAACGGGGAGAAAGGCGATGTCAACAATTACCGTCCTATATCTGTCTTGCCATGTATCTCCAAAATCATAGAAAAACTTTTGAATAAAAGACTTCTCAGTTACTTGTTCCATAATAAAGTTCTATCAAATTCACAATATTGCTTTAGACAAGTTCTATCTACACAGGATGCAGTATCTGATTTAACAAAGCTAATTATAGAAAAGGTCGATCGTGGAGTAAAATGTCTCGCCATCTTTCTTGACTTAAAAAAGGCTTTTGACACCGTCTCTATCCCCAGACTAGTTCTTAAGCTAGAGAGCATAGTAATAAGGAGCACAGCCCTTACTCTCTTCAAAGACTACCTGCTTGAGAGAAAACAAATGGTTAAAATCGGCATTAGCATAAGTCAAGAGGAATGTGTATCTTATGGTGTCCCGCAAGGATCTGTCCTCGGTTCAACCCTGTTATTAATGTCCTTAAATAATTTAAAAAAAGATTAACGCAAATCCTCACTTCAACAGCTTAAGTCCTACTAATTAAGTAGTGGACTTTTACGGGATGATAAAAGGGGATCTTGTAGCTAGGATTCTGTAGACTGTGTGTAGCGAAAAATTATTCGCTGCTGATGCAGCAGAAATTTAAGTTTCTATTTTTGAAACATAAGATATAAAATTGATTCCATTCCATTAATTATAGCATGTAAAACTTCACTGCCGAATACACGCAAATATAGCATCATTGGGGGTATTTGGCTACAGTTGCCACTGTATTTATAATAGTCATCAGAAATATGCTCCAACACATCTATTGTTTCAGTTTCCCTCTGTTGCCTCTTATGACATTCGAGGAATAATCTTACGAAGTAGTCGATATTTTTACACTGCTACTACATAATTAAGATACAGTATACCACTATATATTAAGAAATGCCTTTTATGGGATTGAAAGTAGAGATTCTCTAGAGTGCTTATTTTTGACATCGCACGCGTAGTTTGATCGCAATGACTAATAAACTGACTATATTATTACTTGTCACAATTCTGACGACTAGCAGTCTTTTAAGTATATCTTAACGAGGCCATACTTCAGTATGTATGTAGGCATATGGCTGTAGCATGAATAGGTCGGGTTGACTTAGTAAAGACTCGACGGAAAAAAGCAGCCTAATGCCACTGTATTTCTTGTGATGAGTGTACATACCCGGAGACCCTTTATACTAAAAATGATGAATTCCATTTAAATCACTAGGGATGACAATGCAACTGCATTTCAGTTTAAAAATTAAGGATAGATTCATCCATCCACTTATCATCAGGTGAGCTGTGTGCTCATGTTTCATTCTAACTCTCGAACGAAAACGATAACGAAAAAAAAAACTTAATAATTTGGAGGTCATCACTGCAGTCCCAAGTACGGCGCAAACGACAGCCATCACCTTTAGTCTTAGACCATTCAACCCAACCTTTAGTAACTAAGCAATACCTTTACGACACATAACCGTAAATTAACATTCTATGCCTATAACTGGATTACTTTGAACTCGTTAGGATTTAATACGCCTTCTACGATTATTATTGTAACAAGGACGCCGCAATGTCTGCACGCCTATTAAGAAATCTTCCGTCTCTTACTCGCAATTTGGCACGAATATATGGAACAAACGTGCTGAACTATTCAGTATCCTAAAATTTGTTTCGGGTGACCTGATTTCAAATGTATTAAATGGAATACCTACAGTACAATAATTATTCACCGACATTGTTCAAGATCAACCCAATGTTTGCCCGTTATATTTATTTATTTACTACAAACTGTTACAACTTTTACGCCACCACAACCACCCTACAAGCACCGATTGTTATATGCCCCCGTACCCTATAGAACCCATATTGTGAAAATTATTTTATTCTTTTTAGAAGGTCGTTTTTACGTTTATAATTACTATAACATTTTCGATCAGTATGAGCCGAAAAAGTAATATTG